AACGGCTTTGAAGTTTGCTCTTCGCTCCGTAGGCAGCTCGGGAAAACTTGACAAAGCTCCATGGCCTTCCTCGGCGCTCGGTGAGCCAACTCGCCGCTGGCATCGACTTCAGTCGAGCTTGGGCTGGAAGTCAATGGCCTTGTGCCCACTACTGCCAGCGCTGGATTTGGCACCGTATCTGAAAGCAGATCTTATTTTAAGCTTTTACTTCAGGGTTGGTTTTCTTTCCCCCACTCCTCTCCCTCTTCCTCCTCTTTATTTCTTTTTTTTTTTTAAATTTATTTTTTTCTACTATATAAATCCTGCTTCTCTGTTTGAAAAGGCTTTGCAGAACCAGTGGAGGCATTTACCAGGGGATGTGGTGGCTTTCTCAGTGCTTGTGGTTCCCCAGACCAGGGCTGATGCAGGGCAGGGTGGCAGGAGCATGGGCTGCCTCTGACTACCAGGAGGTTAGATGGGTAACAGTCCTTTTCCAGTCGAAAACTTGAGAAAATGAGGCTCCTGCGGATTAAAAACCTCCAATGAGATCTCAAAAAACCCTCCCAATCGCCACCTCTATTAAAGTTTGCTGCGCGCTTCACTCTCCACAGCCATGTAATTTTGTCTAAATCTTTTTGTTTCGCCCAAATCCCTGCAAGATTAAGGGGTTTAAGAATAGGCATCAGAAAGAGAGTGCCTTTGCAGAAAGAGAAGCAGACAGTTTGGAGCAGCGGTTCATGGATTCATCGACAATCTCCCTGTGAGACCTTCTTTGGTCACACCGCACAAGGGAGGATGGGGAGATGCCCTCTAGAGAGAGCCCCCACTGAAAGAGAGGAGACCCTTCCGCCCTTTAAGGGTGTTTTAAAGGGCACCAAAGCTGCACCACTTAACTCAAGGAACTTTTCCTCCCTTTGGCTTGACCAGGAGCAGTATGTTATGCACAGGGGTCCTTGTAAACCAAATCCTGTATGGTTTTCATTGATGTCTGCTCAGATCTGAAGGTACTTCTCCCAAGCTGCTGCTCCTATGAATAGTCTTCTCATGGAGCCTGGACCTGCAGGAATGGGCCCATACCTCTCAAAGGACCTAACACTGTAGAGCATTCATGTTTTCAAATGAATTTATTAACTGCCTGAGATAATTAAAAGAGTAAACGCAAGTCATGATCCATCCATGCATCATATTTCCTCTGTAATTACGTTTATGGTTTTCTGTCAGTATCCATAACTTCAGTTGAAAGCCCTGCTATGCTATATATAAAACAAACAGGAGATGTTTGATTTGGGGCCTGTTTATTTAAAGGGATGTGTCAAATATGTACATTTGAAAAAAAAAAAAAGCAGCAACCAAACCAACCATCCCTCAGTTGTCCTCAGGTTTCTGGAGAATGAAGGATGGAGCAGGAGAGTCAAGGGAGGAGAGCACGATGTTAGCAGGAGAAACCAGTGAAAAGCCGCATTTATAGGGTGGCAGCAGGTAAAATCCCCATGTGCTGCTTCTCAGATGAAGGGTGTGAGTGCAAAGGAAGATGTTTTTCAGGGATTTTTTCCCCAGATTGAGCACTAAAGGCTGTTCTGCTACCTCTGGCCTTAGGGCTGCTTTATTGAGGCTGGCTGTGCCCCTTTGGCCCTGGTTTCCCTCCCAGTGCCGGTGGTCAACGGAGATGGGAGAGACACCCACCGCCAAATCCCACCATGGACAAGACTCTTCTGGGGGAAGGTGATTTCCTTTCCACTGCCCACAAATGGACTTTGTTCCCCAACAGTGTCCTCTGCAGGTGGTGGACATCCCTCCCCGGTGCTGCCAGAGTTTGGGGAGCAGGGAGGGTTGGTGCCTTTCCACGAGGAGGGTTTAGAGCGACAAGGGGTGGGGAAGACATTTGTGAATGTAGGACAGAGACTGAGCAAACCTGGGCTGTCAGGGCATGGACTAGATGACCTAATAGGCCTCTCACATTCCTGATCTGTGATTTATAAATGCACTTTTCGGTCCCAGCAAGCGACTCCAGTAACTGTGAGTTTTCTTTTCCATCTCCATTACCCTTTACTTTTTCCTCCCGACGCTTGGAGATGTTTCCAATTATAGGTTCTCACAAGCAAAGGCATGAAGTTCAGGCCTGGGAGATGTTCAGAAAACACCTTCCTGCGTCTTGCATTTTTATTCTTGGCGGGCTCCATGGAGCTCGGCTCATTCGACAAGAAACAGCCATTGCTGCCACTTACTGAGTTCTCCCCAATGGGGCCATGGTCCTTCCTCTCTTGACTGTCTGGCAGATAATTCTCCCTCTTCCACAAAGTGAATTTCTTTCTTGTTGCATTATAAATCCGCTTCTCTAATGGTGATTATTTCAGGCCATCTGTAATAACATGATCTTGTTGTATCACACCCCCTTTCTTCACAATGGAGCCTGAATTCAGCTCTCATCCCAACTTGTAGGTGGTTGTTTCTGCTGTTCCTGACTCGCCTGTAAAGGTGAGATGCAGGTGCCTCAGTGTAGGCTTCCAGGTCCTTTAAAGATGCTGAACACCTCTATACAGGGTTAGAAAATGTGGTGCAGGACCTAGGAGATATATGCATCCTTCTGGAGGGCCAGATGAAACATCCAAAGGTCTCTAAAGTGTCACTTGGCACCTTTGATTAGAAAACTGATCTGGTGCCCCATAAGTACATCATCTCTCAGAGACCTGGAGCGTTCCTCATGTGCCTGAAGCCGAGGCTGTGAAACTCTCTCATTTCATCTGCCTCACCCTGCCTGCTTATTTTTCTGCTGGGACATACTGTGCTGGAGTATTTATCATTTTTACTCTATTAGTGACGAGCTGCTTTGGCTTCTTGCCTGATTTGCATTTCAGCCCATTCCTGAGAGTTGCTGATAGGCTTTCTGGGATAAGTTTTCACAGGTTTCTGGTGCCAAGTGCTAGGGGTTGGACACATCTCACCCAGCTCTGTGCTTATACAGTCCAGATGTTTGCGTCTGAGCTTGGTGCCTGGGTTCCCTCTATAGACAGTGCAGAAAATGAGCACTCCTCAGGCATGATGTTACTCTACTCTCAGAAGCACATCGGGCTACTTACTCCCTAAATGTGGCTTTTTCTTTCCATGGGCTGAAGAAGGACCCGTAAGGACTACTGTGAGGTCCACGCTGTGGGGGTTTGCAGTTAGGTGACATTCTTACTGTCCGAAGACCCATGCCTCTACCTTCAAACACACGATACATCTGAGGTGCCTGAGCACCCAGAGTATCACCAAGAGGTTTTATCTCCACCAGCTCAGGTCCAGCACCGCTTCACATCTAAGGCAAGCTGAGTTGCCTTCTGGAGGTGCCCCTCTCCAGGCAGGGAGCGTTGCAGGAGCAACAGCATGCAAGGGACTGACATGAACTACATGGCAGAATCTCTGACAATTAAATACTCCACTTTTTCCTTTCCCTCGAAATTCACTGGCCAAAACTTCTGTTTGCTGTATATTTAATGGACCTCTTTAAATATATGTATGATGTATATATTTACATAGCTAGCAGAGTGGTGGTTTCCCTTCCAAGTTTGCCACTGATTATCTAGTGCCAGAAATGCCGAAGTACAGCCGCCCGGGAATTTGTCTGTGCAGACCTGCTCAGCCCTAGCAAGGATCCTAGCTTTTCCCTGCTGGAGGAGAGCTTGGGGTTAGCAGTTATGTGCAGCCCAGAGCGAGCTCCAACATACACAGCAGCTGGTTCGAGCCAACCTTGGGGGAGCTGGTGGAACATAGATGTGTTTTCCTGAAAACCGAAGATCAGAGCTAATACCCCCGATCTTGGTTAGGGCTCAATTTTAGCTCCGTTTCCATCTCATTTACCTTCTGAAGGACGTGCATGTTACAGTAATAAAGTGAAATGCACCCAGAAATGTGTCTGCTAATAAGCCGAACTACCCAAGACGGCTTAGGATGAAACTGAAAGGCAACACATTTAACAAGGAGAGAAGGAAATATGTGTTAAGGCGGTTGTGTTGCCAGGATCAGATGCCAGTTACTGATGCAGCCAGCTAGAAAGTTGTTTTATGGGAATGAATAACATTTATGACTACCCTAAGCAGGTCATAAAGATACAAAGAGAGTTACACACCAGGCTTCTGCTGATCGCTGTGGGTGCTTGGGGAGGAAGAGCGCAGCCCTGTACGATGCGTGGCAGCGTTTTCTTCTTTTTTACCTGGAAATGTTGGCAATTGCGCACTAGAAGAGCCAATGGGGTCTTTGGGGTGTTGGTTGTTTCTTCCATTAGTAACATACGCACTGGTGCTAGTGGATCCCTTCTCGGTTTTGACCATGGTACTCTCTCTGCACGCACTCTCATCGTGCTTCTGTGCTATGTTTTTGGAGACTAGAGAAACAGACTTATCTACATGCAACAGTGATGGAATAGGTGGAGGCCCTTGGCGTTAACTCTAAGGGAAAGCATCTGTTTTGCAAACCTGGTGGCTTTTCCCTAGGCCTTGCAAGGGATTTTCTCCATAATTAATTACATGACATTTAGCATAATCCTTAGAAAGTGTGTGAGACAGATGCTGAATGCAAAACACTGATAACACCAACTTCACTTTTTTTTTTTTTTTGTACTGAATACCACAGTCTTGGAAGATCCAGCTTTCTGTTATCGTGGAACTGATGGGTCATTTTTCACTCTGTTGGGAGGTCCGTCCTCTTCATTCTTCAGAAAAAAACCTTCCCATCAGGATTTACACATTCAGTCAACTTGGTGTATGCCCCAGGACCTTTGTCCAGGCTCCCCTAGATGATGGAGAGAAACGCACACTTCTAGAGGGTGTTTCTTCCCCCTTACCTTAAACACCTACTTTAGAAGAGATAAATCACTCTTCATAGTTGCCTATCTTTCTCACCAGCTTAACCTAAGCACCTATTTACAGGTAGCTAAAATTAAGTCAGACGAACCCAGGCCAAAGCCTTCACTGGACTGGAGGTAGTGGAGAAATTAATATCGACCTGATGATTAACTTTTTTGTGGGTTTTAATGCCTTTTTGCATGTGCTTGTTTCCTCAGAGCTCTGTCCAAGACTCCTTCGGCTTTGGCCCTGAATCAAACCCAGCACTGCAAGCAGCTCGAAGGCTTGGTGGTTTCCCAGGTGCAGCTGTGCCGCAGCAACCTGGAGTTAATGCAGACCATCATCCAGGCGGCACGAGAAGTGATAAAGACCTGCCGTAAAACTTTCTCGGACATGCGGTGGAACTGCTCTTCCATTGAGCTGGCTCCTAACTACCTGCTGGACTTAGAGAGAGGTAAAGAGCACTGCTGGCGGAGCTGGGGACATGACCGAGTAGAGTCAGGCAGTCTGTGTGTGTGTGTGCGTGCCGGGGTTGGGAAGGTTCTTGCTACCACAGGGAAAGGTGAAGGGACTACGCAGCTTAGTTGTCCTGTTCTCTGAGACCATGTTCATCGTTATGGTGCCAGTCATGCCCAGGAGCTCTTGAGTCCAAGACCTAGTCTCCCACATCTCTTACAAAGCATGCCACCAATCTGGTTTGCTCATCTCATTAGGGGTCATGGAGCACTTGCACACAGCCATGGAGCTGCTGCTCAGGACATGCAGACTTGTCAAGCAGTACACGCTATGCCTGAGGCTACGTGCCAGTCATGCCCAGGAGCTCTTGAGTCCAAGACCTAGTCTCCCACATCTCTTACAAAGCATGCCACCTGTAAGCATGCCACCTTGTAAGCATGCTTACAAGCTCTGTGCCTCCCACCACCTCCCCCAGCTCCATGCATGCCAGCTCCATGACCTGCCAGCAAACAGCGTCCAGCATAGGGGCAAAAGGAGGCAGGAGAACCCGTGGAGGGGCTTCTTCACGTGCTCCAAGGGCAGATCACACCACGATGGACAAGTTGCATAAGTCCATGTGCCTCCTTGCCCTGCTGGGATGTTGCCTCGTGTTGAAGAGCTCATTCAGGAGATGTGCTCCAAGCTGGTGATGCCATGGGAGATCCCAACTGCGCTGAGTTGGTGTGTTCGCTGCTCTGTGGGACACAGATTGTGTGGGTCTCTTTTTGGGGAATGTTTAGTTGTGACAGGAGGCTGAGCTGGAGTTCTTGTCTCTTCCAGGCACAAGGGAGTCAGCATTTGTGTATGCCCTTTCTGCCGCTGCCATCAGCCACACCATTGCCAGGGCCTGCACCACCGGGGACCTCCCTGGCTGTTCCTGCGGTCCCATCCCAGGTGAGACACCTGGACCTGGGTATCGATGGGGAGGATGTGCAGACAACCTCAACTATGGTCTTATCATGGGGTCCAAATTTTCAGATGCTCCCATGAAGATGAAAAAATCAGGATCACAAGCCAATAAACTGATGCATCTGCACAACAGTGAAGTAGGGAGACAGGTAACAAATCCACGAGAGTTATTGTAATTGTACAATCATCTGTAGTGGTCGGTCGCTCTGTGAGGTTCAGTGTCTCTATCAGCTAGCGAAAGGAGCAGCTTTCTCCCAGACTGCTCTGAACTCCTTTGGCCTGCTGAAGAACTAGCTATATAACTCACGTTGGGACTCAGGAGGTCCAGAATGCTGTTATCAGCCCTGTATAACCGTGGGTGGGATGTCTCGTTGCCACCCTTTCCACATCCAAGGATGGCTCTGGCTTGCTTGCCCCAGGAGGTGCGGTGGGGATGGGTCCCGTCGTGCTCTGCCAAGGGCGTTGCACAGGCGAAGTGCTGTGTAAGCGTGGAGGATTACCATCTGCCAGACGCCTCCAGCAGCAGCTGCCTCCCAGCCATCCCTGCGGCCAGCGGGGCTGATTTTTCCTTTTCAAAATGCTTCGCTAGTGATTATTCCCATACCTGGCAGAAGCCGCTTTTAACAGCTTGCATCCCGTGGAGGGATAACGCTTACCACGCACGGTGCTTGGTGTGCACCAAGGAGCAAATCCCCATCGCAGCCCTCCATGAAGCTGGAGAAACGGGGAGAGGGGGCTGTAGATGTGACCCCTACACCCGCCCCTGGAGCTGCAGCAGTTCTCTAGGCTGGTCCTACCACGCAGCTTGGTCCTTTCAGGGCTGCCTGTGCTCAGGCACTGGAGCAGACAAAACTTGGAGCGTGTTGAGCTCATTGGCAGCTGACTGCCTAACTACGGGCTGAACTCACCTTTGCAGAGCACAACCATGCTGGACTTGCCTCCCCTGGGTGTTTTTCTCTGCCATTCCCATTCTATCTGATTTTTAAAATTTATTTTCATAATGTCTTGAGTCTTTGTTTTAATTGCAACGGGGATTTTTGTTTGGGACATCATGTTGCCATGGCTGGTGCATTCGTCCCTTCCTGGCAGCATCCTGCCATGTCCTACAGAAACGAGACTAGGGCAGAACCAAAGGAAAAGGCTCTTTTGGCCCCATGGCCAGCAGAAAGGCAGGGTGAGGGTGCCCTGAATTCATCAGAGCCTTGACATCTCTGTTACCCAAAGCACAAAGCTGCTGGAGACAGAAATGCTTGTTAATTTTCTATTTATGGATTGCTTTGATTTCCGGCTCCTTAGGAATTCAGAGGGTGGAAATGCAGCGCTATGTAGATATCTGATCAAAATTCAACATACTCTTCTGTCTGCTGGCTGCCACGGTGCCTTGGTGAAAGTAGTCCTGGGCTGATAGTGATCACCAAGGAGCTATGGGATCTCATTCCCTTTGCACAGTAGCTACTCTAGAGTGGCTGTGCAGAAATCAGAGCAGCAGTCCTTTCCTATAGCAGTCCCTGCTAAGCAAGCGCCTTCTTTAGCAAGCTTGTGGGATGTTTGGAGGTGAGAGAAGGACATTTCCTAACTCCTGCATTCCTTTTTGCAGGTCTTGAAAGCCTCTCTTGAAATGAAATGTAAGTGCCATGGAGTTTCTGGGTCATGCTCTATCAAGACCTGTTGGAAAGGCCTTCAAGAGCTGCGAGACATTGCATTGGACCTCAAAAACAAGTATTTATCAGCCACCAAGGTCGTTCACCGGCCCATGGGCACACGCAAATACCTCGTGCCAAAGGATATTGATATCAGGCCGGTTAAAGAGACAGAGCTGATATACCTGCAGAGCTCGCCCGATTTCTGCATGAAGAACGAGAAAGTGGGGTCACACGGGACCCAGGACAGGTGAGGGTTTCTGCAGTGGGTGCTGACTGCACTCTGAGCCCTGAAGAGGGAAGGGGGAGAGAGGAACATGGATGGATAAGTGGCAAATAACTGGGGCGGTAACACATGCATGCAGGTAAAGGATATCTCTGACATACGGTGTGGTCTACAGATGCCCAAGCCTATTAGTGGTGGTTGTGGCCAAGACAAGGCTGCAGACACCTTTTTGTGTTATACAGGCAGGCACAAGATACCTCTTGAAATCCCCCAGGCAGATCACCTCCGCAGGATCTTGTAATGATCAAGCAGCTGGTTTTTATTGTGCTGAGTGTCTCTAAGTAATTTCTTGCAGTCATTGCTGATGTGATGAGTCGTTACTCTACTGTAAGGTTCCTCAAAGTAGGCAAGTGTTCACTCAGTTAGGACCAGTGCTCCCAGGCAGCCTTAAAAAAGCCCTGTAAGCTACAAAGTTTAATTTCTAGGATTTGTCTTCCACGGCATTTTAACATTCCAGACGTGTTTGTGTTGCCCGTGTCTATGCAGAGAAATTTCTTTATCCCATTAATATTAGCGGTTTAAGGTCATCATACCCAACCTCCACCGGGCACAGTGCTGTCCCTTTCATAGGCAGCAGACGTGCCTGTCTCTTCCCAGGATCTGTTTATTCCCTCCAAGACAAACCAATTCCCCATTTCAGCAATCTGAGCATCTCTAGGTGGACAGCAGACCCCGCGACAGCCAAATAATTGTGTACTTCCAGAATTTTGCAGAATTTCCCGATTTTTTTGTTAGATGGCTGCAATGGCTGGATTTCAAGCTATCTCATTAGTTGCTGTCTGCTAGCTTGGCTTTCTTCAGAGAGTTCTCATAATTCTTCTTTGCTCTTGATGTTACTGTGGTGGTGGAATCTCAGTCAAGTTGCAAGGTGCACGCGCACGCCCTTTTGTGGAGTGTCTTCATTTTAATTCTTGTTGGATGTAGTGCTCTTTGTTCCACTTTGGTTCAAGGGAGAGAATGTTTTGCTGTAATGGAAATGAAGTAAATGATCCAAATGCAGAAAAGATTCTCTTTGGATACCTTTGATTCATATGAAGTATTTGGTGAGGGGTCTTCAGAGGATACCCTTTGGCAACAGCCATTTAATTGGTAACCACAACTCCGAAGACAGTATTTACCTGGTAGAGCTGATCAGGAGATGACAACAGCTGAATGAGACAACCGTGTCCTTTTTGTCCTCTGATGTTTTGTGGCAGTTACAGTTTTATATCTTCCATTAGGACCAAAACCAGTGGCTGGAGTTCTCTACAAAAGCACTTATCTGTCAGCTCTGTGGTGGGAATACCAAGGTGACGTTCATCGCCAGCCTGGTGGTGGAACAGTAATTAGCAAGTGAAGATGTTTATGGGTCCCTGAAGATTGTAGGGAACAGGCATGTGTTGAAACCGTTTTGAGGGAAAATGTCATTTGAGTGGAAGTGATGTTTTTGTGGATTTGTGTGGATTTTGTCAAATCTGTGTCTTGAAAAAGACCTCTTTGCTGTGCCACTCTGTTTTGCGATGAAAAAGTTGTGGAGGTTATTTGGAAATTAGTTTTATAAGAATTGTGTAAAATCAACAGGTTGTGTCAAAACCAAACTGCATTCATCACGGATTTGCCAAGTAAAACATTTTCCACGAGCTGAAATCCATTTAAGGGGGAGAAGGATGTGACTTCTTCTTCATCTAATTTCATTTTACAGCAGATTTTGCCTTTTTATCCCAGCTAGGGATGAAAAATATTTCAAGGTCTTGAATGATTTTTTTTTTTTTTTTTTTTCTTCCAAGGGTAGGAAAATGTGTATTGCAGGCGTCTGTTTATCCCGAGCTGGGCGACAGCAGTGATTGTGAGCCTGCCAGGCGAGGGTCCACGGGAAGTGAGATTGAGTGAGGATTTAGAGGACCAAGATATTAAGGCAGGAGGGGATGACATTCAAAAGGAACCTGTCAAGAAATGCTCCTTATTCTCGGATGTGCAAGATGGTGATGGCCGTGGGAGGGGAGGAGGGTGAGATAGTCCCGTGTTGAGCTGCAGACGTCTCTCAGGCCAAGTTTTAAGGTCATGTGTAGTTACGCTCATTTTCATCGCAATCCATCTGCCAGCTCTTGAGAAGATGCCTGGTGTCTCAAAATCGGCACGTGTAACACAAGCCATAGCAGCCTCTTTTCTGTGTTAAATGAGCAGAGGAATTAAGTGTAACATGCATACAATGTGTTTGCAAATCGGTCCTTTCTTCTCAGGGGGAGCAGGGAAAAGGAGGGGAGCGTCCCTAACCTCTTCCTCCCTTGGATGCCTTTTTCATTTCTCAATTTTTCTCTCATGAAGAGGACTTCTAAATGTATTTTAAAGGTGGTGGCTCTGTTCCAGCCAGCCACAGGACTGCAGAGATAGTGCCTAATGACAGAGATGAGGGAGCAGGAACGCAAAAGGGAAGCTGTTAGAGAGGGCAGGGAAAAATGTGGTTCATGATTTCTCCGCAAAGATGTAAAAATGCTCACGTGGAAATAGCCCAAACAGGTTTTTATTTTATAAGGCAAGTCCTGGAGGCACCTTAACATTTTATCCTTGTTGCACGTCAAAATTTTCTGGGGGGATATCCCACTGTTTCCTGCTAGGCTAATTTTTAAGGTCTTTTATGGCAAATGCAATCAAAAAGGGATTTTTAGTGGTGGTCCCTCCGTTCATTTTCTCTCTTCTCTTCTTCCAACACCTGCCTATTCCCTCTTTGGCCTTTTTCTGGCCATGAATATGGGTTCAGACCCCTACCACATGCTCCAGGAGACTGTGGTGTGGGTATCTCCTGCACCTTTTCAGCCCCACTTCCTGCCTCCCAAGGGGTGCAGAGAGGAGGAGACCCCATTAACAACCCCTTTTCCCGTTTCTGGATTAAAAAATCCAGGTTGCTGCATTTTTGTTACAAAAAATGGGTAGTTTTGCATCACATGGAGAAAAAGTCCTTTTCCCCCTCCCTCTCTCCCAGGTCTGGTGCTTGCTCAGAGCGCACTGGAAGCAGGACAGAGGTTGATGGCAACACCTTGGACGTATTGTGTTTCGGTGTACGCTGTAGGGAACTACCCTGCACCGGCAGATGGGTGGAAGGGATCATCTAATCGGTAGCTTCCATCTCTCTAATTATCCCCTGCATTATGCGGACTGATTGTGTGTTTTTCAGGCAGGAAAGGGAATTGAATTACCTTGTAGTGGAACGGCGTGAAAATCCACTTGGAAAATGTGCATCCGGTTACTCAAAAGCCTTTCAGAGCTCTTTGCTGAAAGGATTTCAAAGCCTTCTTCGGAACAAGCCCGAAATCTTTTTGAAGACGCCTTGCCCTTTCTTAGTTTGTTGAAATTAGAAATGGTTTGGAAATCTGCATGCCTCCAAGCGCTTGGGGTGTATCCAGATTTCAAAGTCAGGGAGCTGAACCCGAGCCTGAGATTTGAAGCCTCTTTGAAGTGCTCAAAATCTGATTAAGGAGCCGAGTTTTGCAACCGGTGTCCGAGGCTCCTACAAACAGGCTTGCTGCAACCACAGCCGCCATCAACTGCAGCCAAACTCCATGTGCCTGTATGCCACCATCACCCTTTCATAGCCAATAAAAAATGCTCCGGAGAAAAATCTAAAGCAGCTGATCTGTGGAGCAGCAACAACTTTCAAAACAACAAATTAACCACTGGGAAAAAATTCGTGTGTTCCCATTGCAGAGCTTTCTTGGACAAAATCGCCTTATAACTTTTGTCTAAACTACATCTTTTAACAAGGTACTTCAGGTTCTCCTACCTGAAAAATTCATTTTCAGTTTTGAGTAGATGATAAATAATAGCAGATTATAAAATTGAGATCTCTTTTGTGAGAAAAGGAGCAAAAGTATTAGCCTTCTTTATCAGTAGGGTGCAACGTATCATATTTCAAAGGCTGTAGAAGGTCCCTTACGGAATCCAAGGAAAGGGAAATTCTGCCGTGCATGCAAAAGCCTCCAGCCCCTGAAGCCTTGCAGAGATAACTGAGCTGTTTATTGCTGATCTTTCCCAGAGCAGCCTTGGAGCCAAGCGAACACTAGTCCCTCCTCGCTGAAGATGGGGAGGAAACCGGGCTGCAGCGAAGCTGGGTTGATCGCTCCTTAGCTGACTCACTTTGGCAATGAGCGTGGCCATTCTTTGGTGGCTCCTCCTTGCTCACGTATTCATTCTTTTCTGCCGTATAAAATATCTGTCTTCGGTGTTTCCCAAGGTGTCTTAGGCTGGTATGTTTTCTTGGGTAGGAACATGCGTGAAGTTAGTTGAGCATGCATCTGCTGCTCGGTGGTGACGGCAGAGGCTTAGCGGCTGGTGGCCACCTCCTCGGCATCTTGGTGGTCCCAACAGCAGGGCTGATCAAACGCTGCAAAGAAAGGATGTGGTGGTTTTCCGTCTTCAATGGCAGCCCTTTGTCTTGATGATGCTTGTTTCCTGCCACGCTGAAAATACGTTTCGCATTGCGTGATCATGTGGGCAATGAGATTTCTTAGCAGAAGCACCCATATTTAGATGGGAAAGTGAAAGAGTGGTAGTTATGGGTAGACAACAGCATTTGGTGTTTGTTTTTTGTTACAGCCTCTTTTAGTTTCTGTCACTCGGTGAGGCCACAAGAAGCAATATGATGAACGTTGGCTTTGAGTAGGTTATAATGTGTACGGTGATTTAGTGATTTTTTGGAATTGTTATCATTTTTTCATGGGATCCAACAAATGATGAATAATAATTAGCAAATAATTCTTCTGTGAGCGTCCCCGAAGTTTAAACTGGAGGGAAGTCAGAAAAAAGGTAGCTTTGTGTTCCTCCCACCTGCAGTGCTATTTCTACTTTCCCAGGGCAAAGTGCTCGTAGCTGGTGCCCATTTCGAGCTGTGCTTTCTTGGGCTTTTTCTCAGTTAATCCCCGGGGAAGTTTGAATCTTTCCCACTTGGGAAGGAGAGACCTGGATTTGACCATAAAGTTTCCTGAACAGATTTGTGAATAATAGATTTATCGATGGAAAGGGTAATTTCACGCAGTGAAATTGCAGTGGATAGTGAATTCAGGGGATAAAAAATTGCAGCCGCTCTCCTAAACATATCTAGTCACAATGCATCAAAACAGCGTTGGAGTTAGGGAATGTCACGGCTGGGAATGACTTTCCATGGAGCCTGATCTTTTTAAGAGCAAGACTGAACCAAGACCACCTAGTCACTGAAGATGTTTGTCTACTCTGGTCATAAAAACAGTTTCCCTAAACAACCTGTTCCAGGGATTTACTATCCTCAGACTTATGTTTTTCTTAATCTGAATTCAAACTAATCATAACCTAAAATCAAACTAATAATTTCTTGTCCTCTGTCCTCAGCATGTAAAGAACATTTCTTCTCTCTCCTTTTTGCAACAATCTTTTATAGATTGGAAGACACTTCTTCTTACAAACTTATCTAAATCAGTTCCTTCATCCTTTTCTGCTTTCTGAACTGCTCCTCTGACTCTCCTGGGAACATTCCCACATTTATCTGGATCTTTCTGAAAGTGTGTTGCTTACTTTGCATTTTAATCCACCCTCACAAAATGCTCTCAGCTCCTTTTGCCCGAGCGTTATCCACAAATTTTTAAGCTTACTCTCTACTCCTCATTAATGAAAATACAGGCTGGTTCCAGAGTCTCCCTTGACATCTCCTCGCTGACATGTACTATTGATAACTCTCCTTCGTAGGGTTGTTCCGTGTCAGTCTCTAGTCGTTCCTTGTGGATGAGAAAGCAATTTAAAAGTAGTTAAGATTCTGCCCTCAAAACCTTATATGAAGCTGTGCACTTTGATGCATTTTCAGCAATGTCCATTGTGTCACATACCTCCTGGGGGATTTTAATTATTTTTCTCTTTCTTTCTTTTATGTACTGCTGTACAACTTGACATTACCAGAGCAAGGGGCACTAAATAAATGAATATAGGAATCGGATTTAAAAGAGAAAAAATAAAATTATTTCTTTTCACAGCAGTACTGTCTTCTGGGACTTGTGGCTGCCGGAGTTCATGGAGGCAGATGGTTTCCCTGAGGTCAGAAAGGGATGAGACAAATGCATGGCCAAGATGCCCACAAGGGGATATTGAGATACCTAGGCAGGAACATACCTTCTATCCTCCCTAATGCCACAGCCCAGGTGCTGGTGGTGTATGAGGAGAAGGACTACAGAAAGTGGCCAGATTTGTGTTTTCCCCCCTGAACAGCACCTCCCACAGCCGTTGTGAGATGTACTGGGCCAGGCAGGCAGTTGCTGTGACCCAGCATGACTTTTCTTATGTACTCGTAAGCAGCTTCCAATCAATAGGACTGATGGAATGGGGTCCCAGTGGGCATCTGGCCCACCCCTGTCCTCATATGTCATTGTGGGTGACACAGTACAGAGTTGGACTCAGTTTGGCTCTCAAGTGCCAGGTGGGCAACCAAAAAAATTCTATCCTTATGTCTGCTGATGGGATAGAAGGCTAACTGGGATCGAGAATGAAATTAAGTGTGACATCTCCCCATGGCTTTTAAAATGAAAATCCCCCAGGAAGTAACTGTGAAATTGCTCTTAGCCTCTCCGTCCGGGGGAAGACTCTTAGAAGTGCTGGGATGTCCTTCACCATCTCTGCCGAGGAGCCACCCCCATGATGAGGATGTATGATGTACTGCAGTATTTCTGCAAATGAGGGCTGGAAAGGGGAGATGCTGGACAGGCGTACTGAGTGCGATTTGTCCAGTCAGCAGGGCTGACCTCCTCCCTTCTTGCACAAAGGAGGAAAAAGCACTGTGACAATGTAAAAGCCTGTTCCTGAGCCAGGACCTTGGCTGATATTGCGGCTGAAGCATCGTTTTTCATCGGTCTTCCAAGTGCTTCTAGAGGTTACGGTGTTGTGTTAAGATGCAATCGCCTGCCTTCGTATTTTCTCTCCGAGGCTCGGGAGGAGGGCATTTCTCTGAGTTGCTGGAATCATGCTGGACCGGGCCCAAAACAAATGAGATTGAACTTAACCCATCAGTGGGGAGTCTGGTGAGATCACAGCCGTGGGGTCTGAAAGCAGATGCTCAGGGGTAGCTTCTGTGGGTAAACTCTGGTCTTTGGGCTCCTTTGTCTTCCCCCACTTGCTTTTTGCATGTGTAGATACAGCTGAGAAACTACCTCTGTTTCAGCTTGTTTAAAGAAAAAGAAAAAGAATTCATCCAGGCCTGTGCTTTAAAACAGAAAACAAAGTCTCTGCTTAGTGGCATTGTCAGGGAAGTTTTCTAGAAGGCCATTTAGGTTCAGGATGGGGTCAAAAGCTTTGTTTTGGCCATTCAACCCATCTGTCCAGAATGTTCCTTTATCTGAAACTGAGAGAAGCTTGGGGATTTTTTAATAAGATTTTGGTTTTGCCTTTATTTCAGGCTGGGTGGGATGGGGACAGGGATGGAAAAGTATATCTCTTAGTAGATCCACTTTTTTTTTTTTTGCAAAGCGCGGGAGTAGGTGCAAGGAAAGGGAGATTCTCAGGTCCCAATGCAGCAGGTAGAAGACTTTTTCTCTCTATGTGAATGTGATAAATTTGACTGTCGAGTGCTTTGTACATTTGGGGAGTGAATGTCCTCAACGGTGAATTGGAGTCAGAGTGGACCCGTATCCCTTTTCTTGGCTATTTTGACGAACTCTCGGCACGAGGTGGCACATACGCACTGCACATCCCTCACCATGCTTCTGCAGGGTCCCCATCTTCCCTAGGTAAACCTCCGGGCAACAACCTTTCCATGCACCGGTAAAGCTGAGTAAGGTTGTCGAATACCCTCCCCTCTTCTAATGTCAACATGCCTATATGTGAACCTTTGCTCTGAATATTTAATGCATTTACTAATACATTTATGAGGAGTCATTCGGAGGTTTCCTGGTGGAGGGGCCCCGGCTCGCGGGGGCAGTAACAACGCCTTTGGTTCAGCGTTAGGCAAACACGCTCGGTGTGGTTGCAGACTTCGGCTTCGGTAGAGGCTTTCAAAGGTTTGTAAATATTTACACACACTCCCGAATGAGGGGGAGCAGGGCGGGGGGGGCCTTTAAACACTGAACCTGGAGAGGAATGCGAGTCAGAAATAACAAACAGGAGGCCCGCCTGAGTCAGAAGAAAATAAGGGAAGAACAAGAACAAAATCTCAACACCTCATTAATCCCGTAACTTCTCCTAAAGCATTACCTCATGAGGAATTCCTATAAACCTCATGGATTTGTTTGCGTCTATTAATGGAGTCAGCTCAAGACTCCAACTCATGCTCCTCTCTCCTTTCCCTGCCCCAAACCAGCCTTGGAGTGTTTCTGTCCAAAGTAGCCACCCAGAATAAAATTTAGGAGAGGCGTCAGCATTCCCCCCACTCTCCTAACTGCCTGTTTTACAGTAGTTTCAAGACTCAGCATCAAATTCACAGCCCCAGGGTGCTGGGTGCATAAGGAGATGTGTTACCCTACAGCGCTAGCGTCCAGCCAAGCATCTGACCAAACATGAACGCTTCCACCCTGGGCTATCTTTACAGCCCATGGAGAAATCGCGTCTCTACGACACGGTTCATCTCACCCAAAAGTCAATGCCTGTTGTGCTGTCATGTCCAGCGACCCAACTTGGAGTGTTTTAGGAGAACGAGATAACTGGTTTTTTGAGAGTGGCTGGGGATCCGTGATCAATGGATCAACGGAGGAGATTCCCCAGTTCGTGGGTTACTTTTGAAAACCTCAAGCCAGCTGCTTGCAAGCCGACAAAGTGAGGGAACCCCACGCAACGGCTGACTTATCCCGACGAGCCTGGTTTTAATTAAAAACAGGAGCAGAACAAGCAGTGGAAGACTGTGTGATATTTGGCCACTTGTCATCCCATCCGTGATCAATGGATCAACGGAGGAGATTCCCCAGTTCGTGGGTTACTTTTGAAAACCTCAAGCCAGCTGCTTGCAAGCCGACAAAGTGAGGGAACCCCACGCAACGGCTGACTTATCCCGACGAGCCTGGTTTTAATTAAAAACAGGAGCAGAACAAGCAGTGGAAGACTGTGTGATATTTGGCCACTTGTCATCCCCCGCCGCGCTCCTGCCGTGCTGCCGGCTCCCGGGTCGGGACTTGGGGTGTTGGAGGGCCAGCTCCCCGGCCGCTCGTACCGCGCGGGGGGACGCTCGGAGGAGAAAGCGCGGGGTCGGGCCCTGCTCGTTTCGGCTGTGATTTCCCTGATAGGGTCAGGGCTGGATTGTGGCCGGAAAAGCCCGCTCAGGGGCTTTCCCCG